TTGTATTACATCTATAGATCACTTTGTCTAATATTGAAATTTTCACAATGTTAAGTCTTTCTGTCCACGATCATAGTATGTTTTTCCATTTACGTTTTGGTTCTTGCAGTAGTGTTTTGTAGTTTTCTTTGTATACATCTTCTATATCCCTGGTTTGATTTATTCCTCCTGGTGTGGTGCCACTTGTTTTAAACATATTTTGTTTCTTTAGGCCCAAATCATTCATAGTTCCAGAAGATAAATTAAAATAATTGATGAATAGAGAACAGCTGTTAACAGTAAGAAACAATGCATGCTACATCCAGATTACATACCTTAACTGATTAGCAGATATGACAGAGGTTTGCATTTAGAAGGGCTTTTTATTCTTTTGTTAAACAGCTTTAAATATTCTAAAACAAATTTATTTTCTTCCCTTTTATTAAACTAACCTTAGAGATTAGAGACTTCTGCTTATCTAATACTTGATATTTCTTTACACATGCATGAATGTGCATATATATATATATTTTTTTTTTTTTCTTTAAATTTTTATTGTGAACTGAGTGATAGTTTACACGGGAGAACATCAACTTTACACCATCGTTTCACTGCAGTGTATAGTTTATTTAATAGAAATGTGGATTACAACAAATTTGAAAACTTGAAGTAAAATCTTAGAAATAAATCAAACCAACCCTCTTACTTAATATATGATGAATTGAGACCCATGGAGGTTAAGTGACTTGCAACATCACACTTACCTTCTTGAAGGACCAGTTATTTATAATATAATGATCTGATCTGTTAGCAATGTATGCTTTTGGAATGCCATTTTATCAAAGGATGCTAGCAAAAATTTCTCCACTCCCCCCCGCCCTCCAAGCAAATTGGTTTTCTTCTCCACTTTTTTAAAAGGCAAAAGTGCAGAAGTCCTTGATTTGCCATTTGATACTTTATTGAAAAACTAAATAGTACTTCTTTGTCTGCGTTTTTGCCAGTGAACTAGAATCATAAAACAGTATGGTTCAGTAGTAGGCACTCTGTACTTCTTGGAGATTAAAGGGAACAGTTTTTATTGTGTGGGGTGGGGTTGTGGATTAATGGAGCCTTTCTTAAACATTTTTTTATGATTATAAAATTTATGATGGCTCTGCCCTAATTCCTTTAGCCTTACACTTGTGAATCATTTTTAGACTTGTATATTTTGCATCCTTTCTAATCTGTGTCCATTGCAAAAGAACATAAGTCATATCTATTTATATTTGGTTACTGCTACTGATACTCTTTTTCATAAAACTTTCTCATATCTATGTATGAAAATATACATAGAAGTCAATATAGTTCTACTTTAATATTTTCTGTTACCAATATATTTCTAGTTATGTTTTTATTAACAGTGTGTCTTTCATCTAAAAGCTAAAAAAAAATTTCTTGCTGCTATTCAGTACATTCTTCTAATGTTGTTTCACTAAGATAGTAATCAGTAGGAGTCCACATAGAAAGTACGTCTGGAATTTCATTTCTGTAGACGTTAAATATATTTAAGTACTAAAATACTAACTACCTTCTAGTTGATTTCCAATATCCTTATTTTTAAAGGAAACGCTAGTCACCTAGTCCAAATGTTAGCTATATGTAAAAATTTATTTCTTAAGGATACTCCAGAGAGCTAAGGTTTTGTGATTGTCTTGTTTTTGTTTTTTTTAACTGTTAAATATATCATTTATTATGGAAACACTGAGACATTCTAATTTTGACCATTTTGTTTTTCATTTTCAGTGATATAGACTATACTTTTGCCTAGTGAATAAGTGTTTGTTCACATGGACCACAGGCTGGCTGCCGTCAGTATTAAGATGCTATTAAAGTTGACTTTGACTAAGTAGTTCAATTGAAGGATCAGAGCTCTATCCTTTTGAATGAATTTTAGAACAGTTAGAGATATCTATTTTGCACTTTTGTAAAGACATTTCTTCCTTGATTTTTGTGTTTCATGTTAATTTAGCCAACGTTTATAAGGCATATACTAAGTACTATGAAGTTCATTTTAAAAGATAGTTTCAGTAGTCCCTAACCAATTTGAATTTTACTAATTTGTAGCTGTTTTCAGAAGTTGTTGTTGTTGTATGCCGTGGAGTCGGTTCTGACTCGTAGTGACCCTGAACAGGGTTTTTGAGGCTGTAAATCTTTACGGGAGCAGAAAGCCTTATCTTTCTCCCACGGAGCAGCTGGTAGTTTCGAACTGCTGACCTTGCAGTTTGCAGCCCAATTCGTAACCACTACACTACCAGAGCTCCTAATTCAGAGTAGAACTTAATAATAAATATTCCCTCTCTTACTTCTGAATGAGTTTAAGAATGAGTTTAAGAGAGGGAATATTTTTTATTAAGTTCTACTCTGAATTAGGAGCTCTGGTAG